CAGGAGCCAGGTGCTTTTCCTGGTCTCCCATGGGGTGCAGGGCCCAAGCACCTGGGCCATCCTCCACTGCACTCCCTGGCCACAGCAGAGAGCTGGCCTGGAAGAGGGGCAACCGGGACAGAATCCGGCGCCCCGACCGGGACTAGAACCCGGTGTGCCGGCGCCGCTCGGCGGAGGATTAGCCTAGTGAGCCGCGGCGCCGGCCTGCCCATGCATTATTAAAGTTGTAAGTTATCTTATTGATTTCCAGTTGGATTCCACTGTGATGAGAGAACGTGCTCCGTGGAACGCCGGTTGTTTGAGACATAGTGAGGCTTGTTTAACCGCCCAGCCTATGGTCTATCCCGCCCAGTGAGTGTTCCACGTGCGTTTGAGAAGGATACAGACGTGTTTTCAGTTTGGGGGTGTAATACTCTACAGGTGCCTTTTGGGCCATGGTGGCCTACGGCTTTGCCCAACCTCCTTTACCCCTAAGGGTTTTCTCTCCTAAGCATTTCCCCCCACCCCCATAAGGAACACGTCTTAGGCAGTTGATGGCGCAGTTGAGTGAAGAAATTCCATTCAGAAAGGACCATTCAAGAAGGCAGCTATTTCTGGAGTTCCTTACACAGCACACAGCACGCTGAAAATCAGCATCAATTCGCAGAGCCAGATGTGGGGGACTAGGGAGCGCCTGGACCTCCCGCAGGGGGAGGCCGCCCCAGCCAGTCCCCGTCTCTCAGCTCTGTACCTAGGTCCCTACTACCTCTCACGCTTTATTTTCCACAAATCGGATTCAAACATCATTTCCGCCTCCTCCTTGGCTGCCCCCCACTCTACCTCCTAAACCGTAGAAGCTGCAGCTGAGTGGGACAGGGCGGGGCTTGGACACCCTGGCTCCGCTCAGCCCCGCCTTCTCCCAGGTGCCCCCGTGAGCTCTGACTTGGCCTTGGAAATGGCGGACAGTTCTGGATGCCGCTTCCCGGATCCAGGCACCAGGCTGAGGAGCAGCGGGTGTTTCTCGCAGAGCCCCGGATGGTGCCAGCCATATACTCAGCAGTGGCTGGGCCCTGCTTCCCCCTGTCACTGGGACAGATGGAGAAGCTTGGGGCCCTAGTGACTCACAGGCTGTGCACAGCCCCCGTTCTGTGCCAGGAGTGGGACTAGAATGAGGCAGGATGGGTGTGTGCCTGCTTCTACAACCTTGCCACAAGTGCCGTTCTGACTTGATCGTCCAAGCTGGCTTTAAAATAAGAAGCCAGTGAATGAAAATTGACCTTCTATGGAACACGGGAGTCCTTCTTTGAAAAACGCAATACAGAGACTGTTGTTGAGAGACTTCCCTGGAACTGTGGGCAAGAGAAACGGTCACCGCCTGGCGCTGCTCGGACCCTGGGCTGCCATGGGACCCCTGATGCCCACAGCCCGGCTGCTCCCGCCCCAGCTGCAGGCTGTGGCCTTTGCGCACTTCTGTTTCAGGTCTGCTCTGTGCCAGGCACAGGGTGCCAGCCCTGGGAAGGCAGCCAGAGGAGCTGCCCACCTGCACGGCAATGGCCCCAGATGCTGTCACTCACACCTCCAGGTCTGGGAGAATTCAGGGTGTTGGCAACTAGCGGGAGGATCGGCTAAAGCCCTGCCCCCAGCTGCTAACACCCTGGGTCCTCAGTGGTCCCCCAGCGCCACCATTCAGGCTCCTCTTGTTCAGAGCTCCTTGTCCTGCCCTCTTGCTCGCTCCCCCAAATCCCAGCGCTGCCCCCTCCACTCTGAATGCCAATTCATTCCCATCCACCACCCCCACAGCCCCTGCCTGATCGTGACCCCAGCTTCTTCCCTGGGCCCGCATCCTGGAGCCCTGACTTCCAGAATGTTCTGGCCAAGCCGGAGTGGAGAGAACCTCGGGCTTCCCATTCCCTCACAAAGTAAAGTTCAAATTCCACTGTGTGCCTCCCTCCATGTTCTAGCCTCCCGGCCCTACCCCTACTCCCCAACCCCGAGGCACCTGCACCCCACTGCATCTCTGCCAGTCTTAGCCCCTCTGCTTGGGGCGGGGCCTGTCGTGGGTTTTGTCCCTGCCCAAATCCTATGACTCCCTTGAGGAGTCAGCATACCTGTCAGCCGCCCTCTGCTCAGGACAGACTCCTCCCTGGGCCCTGCCCACTCCCGCCTGACCCTGGGGCTGCGGGGGCTCCTGCCTCCTTTCCCATAGAGGCCTCCTCCAGCTCACTCTGGCTCACCCTCTGGGGCAGCTGTCTGACCTGGTCTCTGAGCCCCTGCACTGGGCCACCCACTGCCCCTAACAACCTGCACTCTACCCGACTGTGACGGGGGTCTCTTCCCCAGCACTGGACCATGCCTGCCTTACTCCCTGCTCACCACCCCACCCCAGAGCCTGCAAGTGTGCCTGGAACATTTATTGCCTGAGTGAATTAATGAATTTTAAATAAATACTTGAGGTATAGAACACCAAACAATGAAGCTTTTAATATATTGTAAAAAGAAAAAAATGACATTGATGGGACAATGGGAGTTTGACCACTGACTGACTATTTGATGGTATGGGGAACTATGACAAGCCTTTTAGGGATGATGATGTTTTGGGGGACACTCATTGAGTCTTTGTCTCTTACAGCGATGCACTGAGTGTTTACAGAGGGGCTAGGATGGGAGGCGGGCACAAGCGACCATGAGCCCAAGGGAGACTGCCAGGTTATTGTTCTGGTCTCCCCACGCTCCTATGGGTTTGAGATTTTTTATTCCAAAAAGCTACAATAAACACTAAGGAGGATCAGAGCCATGGCTGGCAGCCGTGGGGAGAGGTGTGGCCTTCCGTGGACCGCAAGGTGGCCATAGGCGCCGTGGCCGGGCCACCTGCTCCAGCAGCATTTCCCGGAGGGCTTTCGTGGCACAGACGGCGTCATCCCCACGGTGGGGGCACACACACCTCCCCTCCAAGCAGGAGAAGCCGGGGGACTCTTCTGTGTGCTGTGCCTGCCTCACGCGTGAGTGTGCAGCGGCCCTGCGTGGCAGGGGAGGGGACGTCCACCACCTGGGGCTTCGGGCACAGAGGCTTCCCCCAGCGGTGGTGCTGGGAAGACAGGTGGAGGCAGGGGTTACAACTAAGCGTCCCCTCCACCTGCATAGCCTCACGGATGGCGGAGAAGTTTCCAGATGAAAGTCCTGTGTGTTACCAACAGGAAGAGTGCCTCCATTTCACTGGGGAACATAAAGCTAAGCTGCAGTCTGAGCTGGGTGGGCCTCTCGCCCCCAGCCCCTTCCCAGCCCAGGCAGCGCCTGGCCCCTTGGCTGCAGCCTCTACTCCCAGCCGCTGTCCTGGACTGTGGCCCCCTCCTCTGGCCCCTGGTTTTGTCCGTCCCACACCCAGAATGGCTGCAAATCCCCGTCCCCACTCACTGCTCCTGAACCCGCCTGTCCGAGAGCCAGCACGAGCGACTCCCTCCTCCCCATGAACGGAGCCATTAGCCACCGTCTGAAGGCTGCTGTCTGCTTCCCCATCCCCTTCCTTCCTGCAGGGCATCTGCTCAGACGCCAGCAGTGATATGTGTCAGGAGATGCTGTGGAACATTCTAGAGTGGGCCAGTTCCCTCTGAGTTGCTGTCAGTCTTGGTCTTTGGGGGCACCTGGAACTGTCCACTGCTGGACGCAGCAGGTGCCTGGCCATGATACCTTCTAGAGAAACATGTGTGCTGCTACCATTCTGCCCCGGGAGCTCTGTCTCCAGGCACCTTGAGCCGTGGTGGCCAGTAGGCTAAGCCCTGTGTGGTCCGCCTGGGCTGGAGGGCCAGGCTCAGTGCTCCAAGGAATAGGGAATGTGTCACAGCCAGGGTCCCACCAACAGTGCTTGCAGGATTGAGCAACCAGGATGAGTCCTACAAGCTGGGACGTTGTGCCTCAGCCCCTCCACGAACACCATGTAGGTCTGCGTACCCCTGGCCTGGGTTTCTCTGCCTCTGGCCGCCTGGGCTGGCCCACAGCAGCTCAGCAGTGCAGAGGCCGGACGCGGGCTACCTGTTGAGCAGAGGGCCGCGCTGCACACAGGGAAAGATGCGCTCTGTTCTAAAGCCGCACGGGCTGGCAGGTGCACCACCAACTCCAGGATGCTGCAGAGGAAGCAGCCTTTGGGCTGGGGGGAGAAGGAGCCAGTGGCCATGCCCAGCCCTCCCGCAGAGACACCGCTGTCACCTCCATCCTGCCTGTCTCTGTGAACAACGGGCTGCAGCCACGTGGCCAGCCTGGGCCCTGCATCTGGGAAGTGGGTGCTCCTCTCCCAGCCTTGGGCACACTGCTCCCTCTGCCTGCCAAGTCCTCACCTCCTCACCTTCTTCCTGCTGACTGTTGCCTCCTCCTGGACTCCCTCCGTGATTTCTGGCCCCTAGCCTGGGTTAGGGTACTGATGGGGGGCTTGCATGCTGCACCTGTCCCCCTCCTCTCTGCACCTCCCACTTGTCCTATTTCTCTGCCCACTCGTCCTCCTGGCCCGGCAGGCGTGGGTTCCTGGCGGCTTCCTGCCCCCAGCCCTGGCACAACAGGAGAACTAATAGATGGCCACTCAACTCCTGAGTAGGAGGACGGGAAGAGAACAGACACAGGAGAGGCAGGGTCCTTGCCCCAGAACCTCCTCGTGCTGGGCCCAGAGAGCTCCGGGCTGCCCTCATGCCAGCAGCTCAGGGCGTCCAGATGCAGCCCCATCCCACTCCATGCCTGTGGGAGGGGGAGAAAGAGAGAGGGAGTGCAGGAAGACTCTGGGCTTCCACACACTGCAGGGCACCGGCACGCTGGCGAATGCCAGAAGACAGGGACACACAGGGAACCCTGATTCTCAGGGAATCACAATGGCCAGTCCCACCAGGCGCAGTCGGCCACCCAGGAAGAGCCCCAGCACCCCAGCCCTACGAGAACTTTTCCATCCTTCCTCCCAGCCCTGCCCCAGCCTTGCCAGCCTCCAGAGCCTGGGCTGGCCCAGCCGAGGGCTGGGGTCCCCCTAAAGGTAGGGCCATCCGTACCTCGGAAAGTCACTTTGGCGATCCGGTCGCCCCTGCCCCGCAGCTCCGAGACCGTCTGGAGGTGGACCAGCAGGGCCATGCTGGCGTGGTGAGCCCGGCACTGCCAGGAGGGAGCAGCCGGGAAACGCGAGCTGGTGGAGCGGCTCTCACGCCTGCCTCTCCTGCCTCACCGCAGCTGCCTCCTCCTCCTCCTCCTCCTCCTCCTCCAGCGCCCCCTGCGACGCTGCCCACAGAGACCAAGGCAACCGAGCAAGCTGCTCCTTCCAGCGACTCACGGAGCCTCCAGCCCTGCCAGCTCCCGCCCCTCCAAGTTGTCAGCCCAGCGTGTGTGTGTGTGTGTGTGTGTGTGTGTGTGTGGTGCACCAGCGCGCAGCCTGGGAGCACAGAGACCAAGCCGGAATTCATTATTCAGCAGCCGCTGGCTCCCAGATAAAGCCCTGTCCAGCTTCAGGTGTCTTCGTGCAGCTTCGGGAGCGGAGGCCTCCGCCCACCCCTCAGTCGGGTTCATCAAGCTGTGTCACTAAGAGCAGACAGATGCCGGTGGGCATGAGCATGGGAGGGGCGGGCAAGGGGCTGGGGCACTCGCTCGCATGGGGATCACAAATTTCCTGGTTGGTGTGCACAGGAAGGCAGACTGTTGCATTGCTGTTTGGGGGGGTGACCCACACCACCTCCTGCACAGGCAGGTTGGTCACAGGCTCAGGGATCCTGGCCCTGGGCGGGTCACACTGTGCTACGTAGAAATCCAGGGCCTGTCAGACATAAGAAGGGAGTGTGCTTGCCCACCTGCCCCCACTGGGCTGCCCGGGTCTAAATCTCAGGGGTCCTGGATGAGGCTGCGCATGGCCGGGATGCCAGGCTGTGCAGGTAGCAGAGGTGCCGTGCTTAGAGATCCAGGGCATTACGCTGGGGGAGCCGCCAGGGGAGGCGCTGTAGCAGGTGTCTGGCTCCCCCGGGGCCCCCAAGAGCAGAATGCCCGCACTCCTGCTTTCTCCAGCTGCCGGGGCAGGAGGATTCTGTTTGTGGCAGAACTTCCAGTGACCAAGGGCGTGTGCTCCTCCTCTCTGCAGCAGCTCATCCCAGGAGGGCCCCCTAGGGAGAAAGGCTCAGGGGGAAAGCAGCCTGGGGGATGGGGCCCGGGACCCTGGAGCCTGCGTGCCCTTGCTCCTGCCGTTCACTCCTGCGAATGCTCCCACCTCACCCCTGTCTCCTGGCCTAGGCTCAGCTCCGTACATGGCTGTTCCTGCAGATGCTTCTGCACCTGCCCCCGGGCTGGTGAGGGCCTGCTCTGTGCTGCTCCTGGCCCTCTCGTGTCATGGCATCCTGGGGCTGCCCATTGGCCTCTCCTCCTGCTGACCCAGGGGGGATCCTGGAGCACAGCACCCTTGTACCCCAGGTCTCACAGCTATCTTGTGCATAAGAGGGCGCCCGGATAATGTTGACTGGATGAGGGTGTGAGCTCGATGACCCAGTTGAAGCAGAGGCTAAAGGTGTAAAAAGCAAAATGTTAGATTTTCACAGCATGGCAGCCAGAGGTTGTGCCCCCGAGTGCTGCAGTCGGGGACCCCACCAGCTGCCACGAGAGCCTACGCCCTTTTCTTTCTAAGGTGTCCTCGCCCCTTGGCCCGGTGTTTCCCTATTTATGCTTTTTTATCCTTCTCCCTTGTTTTGCCTCCAATTCCTGCTCAGCTTTGGTACACCTATCTACCCACACTGAATTAAAGAACATGTTAGGGGACCAACATCGGCCCATTAAGCCGATGCCTATGATGCCGGCACCCCCTACGAACGCCGGTTCGAGTACTGGCTGTACCACTTCTGATCCAGCTCCCTGCTAAAGCCCCTGGAAAAGCTGCAGAAGATGGACCAAGTCCCTGGGCCTCTGCACCCACGTGGGAGACCAGACGATGCTCCAGGCTCCTGGCTTCAGCCTGCTCCAGCCCCCTGCTGTTGTAGCCATTTGGTGAGTGACCCAGAAGATGAAGATCTCTCTTCGTCTCTTTCCTTCTCCCTGAAACTCTGCTTTCAAATAAATAAATAGAAAGAATATTTTAGAATCTTTTATTTACTGAATACAAGTAAATGCCTAGCTTTAAAGAAAACATATGTTTAATGTTTCTTTTGAAAAAACATTAAGTTCATTAGCGTTTTCCATCAGCAGGCAGTTTGTGTTTGTAAGGTTTGGTGGCACTTGCCAAGAAGGCTCCACCCCTTCCTCCATCCTCTCTCCAAAGGGGATGGAGTCCTGAGACCTCTTGGGACGGGACGTGTGCATCTTGAGCAATCCAGGCAAGGCATGGAGCGTGCGGAACCTGTTTGCAAAACTGTAAGACGGTAGCAATTTCACTCAGCTGAGTCCACTGACCCTCTTGTAACCTAACCCAGGTCTCATTTTTAAATTTCCTTTTTCCTGTCTATTACCTATTTTGGTAACTTTTATATACATGAGGACTTCAGAAAGTTTGTGAAAAAATTGAATCACAAGATAAGTTCATTTTGCGGCACACATAAGGGAATCTGTGCATAGCTCTTTTTCGTAGTACCTGTTTTCCTTGACCCTCATAAAGCCCCATCAAAGAACCGATGCAAGGAGCACCAGTGATACAGTCTCAGAACCCAGCAGGAGGAGGCAGACAGGTCAGAATCTAGACAGACACACACAGGGAGGGCCGCCGGCCGCCACCAGTGGGGCACAGGGTGGCGCTCTTTCAACAACCTCTAGGGATGCTTTTCCTACTGCAGTACCATTCCCAGGCAGAACCCAGAAAACCAAGGTTTGCGTGGATGTGCAGGGGCAGAGGGGCCTTCCCTGGGTTTGCAGCCCCCTCACCTGTGGCTCCTTCCCCTCCAGGCCTCACTGGGTCTGCCGCATGCACCCCTCGGGAGCCTGTGGCTGCCCCCTTCCACTGTTAACTGTCAGGGAGTCTTTGAGAATCCTGGCGGTGGAAGCAGCCGCCGCCGCCTGTGCACTTGCTGGTGCCCCCATTATTCTCAGCTGTCGTTGACACAGTCCAACCGTGAAGCCGGCCCTTGTCCCTGTCTGACCTCAGCGGGCAAGAAATGGGACTGAGAGCAAGGCCAAGGGACGGAGGCACAGGGAGGTAGGGAGGCAGGACCTCGGTCCCCACCACAGAGAGCACGGAGCCTTGGACACTGTCCCCACACCCCCAGGGCTGGTGTGACCCTCACCGAAGAAACCAACGGAGAAGGCAGCAGTTGGGGAAAAGCAAACCTGGCCTGGGCCTTGGGCAGGCTTGGGGCAAAGGCCAGCTGTGGATTGGGGAGTGGAAGGGCCTGGCGACACCTGCCCCTCACTCTTTAAACTGCTCCTGTGGAGTGAGTTCCCAGAGAGAGAAAGCAGCAATAGGGAAGTACTGCTGTCCCTGCACTCCCTGGCAGGTGGGTGGCTGTGCACCCAAGAATCACGGCCACCCTAGGGACCTTGAGAGCAGGCAGCCCTGGGGAGAAGCTGTGGTCTCTGGGCCTGGGCCTCCATGGGTCCCCAGTCCCCCTCATGTTCTACCCACCGCAGGGCTGCAAACGGTATCACCGGGAGCCGGGGTAAAGCCGCACCCAGGACGGATCCCGCTCGCAACCGAGGAGTGAGGAGCGGGGCTGTAGAGAGTGGTGGCGGCGGCACGTCCCCGGATCTGCCCCGGGGGGCCACCGAGAAGACCGCGTTGCCAGGCGCGCGGTTGCCCGGTGACCCGCGGGCTGTTTACCGTCGGGCAAGAGCCAAGCGCCGCCTTGCGAGCGCCACTCCCACCATGGCCTCTCGCAGCGCGGGCACCCTGCTGACCGAGTTCAATGCCGCCTACGTGCCCCCCGGTCTCATGCCCGGGTAAGGCCGCCGCGCTCGGGCCCCGCCGGCCCTGCACCGTCCCGCGTCCAGCTGCCCAGGCGCTGGCCTCTGTTGTCAGAACTGGGCCCTGGCGCCTCAGGGACCCATCTGTCGCCGGCTCAGAGGCCCTTCTGGGGGGTCACGCGGTCGCAGCGAGCGGGGTCCGGGGCGGCGGAAGGGCACAGGGCTTTGTGTTTGAGTGTGCGGAGGCCCCAGAAACAGAGCAGGCTCTTACCGTCCGCATACAGTGCGGGGCACCCTGGACTGGGGCGAGGTGCGTGCTCTTTGGCGGAAGGCGGGAAGGTGAGTAGGTGGGTGCAGGCCGGCGGCACCAGGCCTGGCCGGCGCGGCAGGTGGTGGGGAGCAGCGTGTGTCCCCCTGCCCGGGCTCTGTGGTCAGCCCTTTCGCTGGTCTCACTCTCAGAATGTCCTTGTTGAAACTTGCCCCAGCCCTGGGTTTTCAAACTCAGGGTGGCACCTGCCGTTCCTTCAAACCCGGGCGATGTCAGAGGCACGGGGCCATCCCTCTCACCTCCTCCAGCCCCCATGCTTCACTCCTCTCTCACCTCCGGCTGCCTCCAGGGTCTCAGGTGCTCTCCTTGCTGCCATCAGCCAGCCTGGGCCTGGGGAGCAAGCCACCGGGACAACAGCAAATCAGCAGGGAGGAACTGAAACCTGTGTGGTCTTGAGAGGCCAGGAGATGGGGTCTCCAGGTGGATTGGAAAAACACAGGGTCTCTCCCCTAAGCTGAACAGACTGCAGAATGAAGGAGAGAGCTGGCGGTGTGCTGTGTCCGGAGCGGGGCTGTTCTGATGTAGAACAGGCAAGGCCCCCAGGGCTGTCATGTTGAAATCTTTTCCCCAGCTGGTGGGTGCAGGGACTGGGGCCAGCGCTGTGGTCTGAACCCAGCTCCTGTGGGCCGGACCCTTCTCTGGCCTGGGAGACCTCAAAAGCTACTGGGGTTCCCACCAGCCCAAGCTAATGCTCCAGGTTAATTCTTTGCTTCTCCTGGGCATGGACCAGAGAAAGATGTGTTGTGTGTTTGGGAAGTGCCAGGTGTGGTGTTAGGATGTCGTGTGACATAGGCAACAGTGGGCGCCTCGTGGGCCCCCAGGCGGGCGTGGTGCGGAGGCGTAGTCAGCTCGGTCTTTGCAGCATGGTTGGGGTGTTTGCGCCATACTCTGCGTGTGGGCGGCGAGGTTTGGTTTTGTGTACTGACATTTTTTGAAAGTTCCCTGCGTCCCCCGTCTTGCTGGCTCCTGGGCCATTGTCTGCCCCTGGAGCATGGCTGGGGGCTCCTGCAAACCCTGCCCCATGCCCCCCCCCCCCCATCACGCTGTCTGGAAGGGGTGGTTGCTTCTCTATCCAATCTCTGTGCTGTGACTGATTTAGCATTGATGCTAAGTAGCTCGTAAACAAGGCTTCACGCCTGGACTGGGCTGGGGCTAGCGGCTGAGCTGTGTCTGCAGCTCTTTCTGGATCTTTCTGGGATGGGGGTGCTTGCCTTAAAGATTCCTGGAAGCCAGGAACGAATGGAGTCGTCTTTTTTTTTTTTTTTTTTTTTTAATGTTTGCTTCCTCGTTGGCAATTTTGTTAGCTTAGTGGAAGAATCCCAGATCCCCTACCACATTTGGATAATTATTATTTTTGTGTGTTTCTCTAACATTGGCCACAGAACTCTCAGCACAGCCAGTCTCTTCTGGCACTCAGATCGCCCCTTGTAGTGGTCTTGTTCACATGGCCCAGCCCCTCCTGTCCCTGTGCTCACAGAGGCCTGGGATGGGCTCCAGCAGGGCAGGAACCAGGTCCCTGATGCCGGGGGGAAAAACTCCATGTGCCCAAGCCAGAGTTCCGGCTGTGTGCCAGGCCCTGGAGACAACCTGTTTAAATCTTTGCAACAGCCCAGATGAGGAATTAGCACTCGTTCAAGGCCGGGCAGCGGGTGAGTCGCTGAGTCCAGTCTTTGTGACTTCAGCACGGCCGCCCATGCTGGTCTCATCCCAAATCCTCGTTTGCCCTCTCCTGCCTTCTCCCTCATTCTGCCAGGAGGCAGAGGAGCCATTAAGAGCTGGTCTAGAGCCAGCCTGCCCGGCTCCATCGTGCCTTACCCGGCACGCAGTCCGCGTCCTCTCCCTGGCTCCCTTGCCTGGTCTGGTGTGTGCCATGGGGATGGTGACTCCAGGCAGGTTCAAGGAGGCTGAAGTCAGTTAACATCACAGCGTCTGGCACGTGATAGCCATCAGCCGTCACCATTTGTCACGTCCCTGCCATGTTCAAAACCTGATTCCAGGCTCTGCAGTGAAAGAGGGTGACAGTGCTGGGCCTCGAGTGCTGGCCACAGTGCTCCAGTGGGTCCCTTGCTGCTCCTGGACCATGCACCTCCAGTGGGGCCTGGCCTGGGTAGCATCCTGCAGTGGGCAGGGGGCACTTGGGTCAGAGTCTCTGGGGCTAGAAGGCTTTTCAAAAGGAGCAGGCTGTCCTCAGGGAGAGTCTGTGCCTCCGGCTGGCAGGTCGGGTCTGGGGGCCCCATCCTTGCTCTCTGCCTCTCTCTGTGCACCCTCCGAGGCTCTCACTGCAAACACTCAGCCAGCCGCGGCGCATTGAACATGAACATGCCCAGCCTGCACTTGCCCTGGTGTCCCCAGCTGCTGACTGTGGCAGCTGTGCCCACCTTTGCCACTGAGCTGGGCTCCAAGGGCCTACAATCAGTACATCCCACACATGCCATCCTCAGTGTGTTTGTGTGTGTGTGTGGGGGGGGGGTCCTACTGAGTCCTGTCCCCAGAATCCCTGCACGACAGGTGCACACACCCAGCGGTACACTGGTGAATGTTTAACAACCAGCTCTCTAGAGAAGAGAAATGCCATGATTCGTGGCACTCATCTGAGTCTGTGGAAGAGATGCTCCTGCCTTGGTCCATTTTGAGGCAGCTGCGTGGCCTTCTGAGACACAGGTCGGGCAGGGGGCACGGCAGGCAGTGCACCATGACCTAGCATCATTGCCATTTTTATAGGCGAGCAAGCAGAAGTCATCCCAGAGCGCACACAATAGCAAAATGTAGGAACATAATTAGGAAGGGAAGAGCCTCCCCGTGGGTGCCAGGGACCCTAACTACTTGGACCATCGCTGCTGTCTCCCAGGATCTGCCTTGGCAGGAAGCTGGAATTGGGAGTGCAGGCGGGTCCTGAACCCAGACACTCTGATGTCTTATCCAGCAGGTGTCTTATCCAACATAATAACCGCTGGGCCAAACGCCCAACTTCTCACACTGGCTTGTTTAGCACCAGACTATACAGATTCCTGAAAATTGAGCAGCTGGCCGGCTTTCTTGAAGCTGGTCTGAGCCAGTGTCAGACACCTGTGGGTAGTACACCATCGTGCGCACCTGTGGCTTCCCTAGGCCTGGGGTCTCACCTGTTGGGGAAGAGGATCTGGCAGTGCTGGGGAAGAAGGGAGGATTTGGCTCTTGTGTCTCCAAATACCCTGCCATTTTGGCTCAGGCCCTGGCACTGGAGGGCAGCCCCAGGACAGGAAGGTGTGTCGGGTCGTGTGCCCACACATCAGCACTTGAACCTCTCCAAGGGCTTCAATGAGCACTGGCAATCTGGCCCCAGCTGGAGATCCTGATGAAATTGGTGGAGTTGGGGCTGGGCCTTGGGCGTTTCTGACCTTCCCAGGTGATCCTGGCTTGTCTGAGAGTCTGTGTGGTCCTTTGCAATGCAGAGGCCATTGTCAAAGTGGCGGGCATGGGCTTGTTGTCTAAGCATATTAAAAAAGGGACCCCTGACGTGGGCCTTTCCCACCTGTGCCAGTCTCCATGGCAGCCCCTCCCCAGGCTGGGACACAGCGGTCAGCTGCCATTCAGAGGAGCAGGTGCGACCCCTGATTCAAGCACAAAGTACAGAAGCAAAAGATCAAGTTGAAAGCTCTCCCTGGCCTGCCGCCTCCAGACCTCACCCCTGCAGGCAGCCCCAATCTCTATTCCGCAGGAGCACGCCGAGGGCTGCAGGCACGTTGGGTCTCTGTGCCCTCCCCTGCGGCAATGCCTTCTCTCCCAGAGGGGTCACAGGCCTTGCCATCCTCTCACCCCCTTCCCAGGCCCTCTGCCCCAGGGCCAGCCCCCCACCCCCCATCTCTTCCCTGGAGTTCGTCGCTGAGCTGTTCAAGGGACTGGCCAGTTTGGCAATTCATGCCTCTCACACCACCTTGAGGATGTGCGGAGCCCCTAAGAACAGGGATTTGGGGGTCCCTGGAGGTCAGAAGAGAACAGGGCCCTTAGAAGCTGCCTACGGCTTCACTCAGTTCAGCGAATACAGGGCACCTAATGGGTTGGGGAAAGATGGGTAAAACATAGGCCTCTCTCCCAGGGGGTTTGCAGTTCAGGGCTCTGCTCATCGTGCGGCAATAGGATGGAAACAGGTGCAGGGAGCAAGAGGCGTCCGATGGAGAGGCGGGGTCCAGGGGATGAGTCCGGTGAGGCTCATGGCAAAGAGGATGTTTCAAACGGGAATGGACCTCGGGGGCTGGAGAGGAGCGCGGGCGGAGAGGCGGGCCGAGAGCTTTCTGGAAGGAGGGGGTGGCAGGAGGAAAGGGAGGGGTGGATCTCTGGCAGGAACAGCCCTCACAGCAGCAAATGGCCTCTTTGGGGCCAATGGTGATGCCGCCGGGACAGGAAGGTGGCGGCAAGGCCTGGGCGGGGAGGCTCTGAGCAGCTGGCTGTTTGGGGAGCCCTGGCAGGCTTCCCCCCACCCTGGGGGAAAGCGTCCTCGTGGGGAGGTTCAGGGAGCTGTGCTGCGCTGTGGAATGGGGACAGTAACAAGTTAATTAGTTAATCAGGCTGCCCATGGGAGCCCCGATGGCACACGGTAATTAATTTTACTGTTAGACAGGGGCCCAGCCCGTGCTGTCGGGGGCAGGGGAGAGATGCTCCCTGCACACACAGCGGCCCACAGCGGGCTTCACAGTACAGCTGATCCCAGGGCCCCAGCTCACGTGCTGTACAC